TCCAGTGTCGTACCTACGTAGTTTGGACCTTTGGACTAAGTCTCAAAGTTCAATTTTCGCGCCCAGCTGCTAGTTTGTTAGAGGCCAAGGCCATGGCTCCAATTCGCACAATCTAATGTTTTTGTTTGGAGTTATGATCGAGGTTTTATGGATTTATGGATTCTACACATCCAGTGTCGTAGTTTCTACGCGTCCATTCCGTTGGTCATGTTCATGTTCACTTGCGTTTCGATATAGAAAGTGGAGACGTAGATGACGTCGCAGTCCTTGATTATGGGCACAGGGCTGCGGTTCACATTTCACTTATGGTACAGCTGCTTGAACGGCCGGTGGGGCGTACGTGGGTAAAAGCTGTGCCGCGTCGCCATGGCCGAATGGCGTCGGCGTTCAGACTCTTGTACACTTGGCACATGGCGTGGGTCGAGAAATCGTGGATTTGCACGATTTCCTCGAGCGTTGCCGACGCTTTCGCCACGAGGCGAAACAGAATCATGCCCTGAACCGCGCCTTCGTTGAAACTCACGCCGTTGAAGCTGCCGACGCGGCGCCATCCGGCCGTCCGGCGCTCGACCGAGAGCGCTGCGTCCAGAACACAGTGCAAGGACGTATCGCCGATCGACTTGTACCGGTGCACATCGTCGTCCGAAGGCGACGGAAACAAATAAATGTACGTGTTCGGTGTTTGGGAGCTTCAAAACGTAGCCTGCACGAAGTATGCGACGGTCTACGTCGTTGATCATGCGTCGGCACGTTGGCCATGGGGCTGTTGATGCGCGGTGGTGTTTCACTTTAACGTCGAAAAAACGGGCTCGAACGTCTACACTTGCAACAAATCCGAATGAAATTTCGGCGAGTCGTACTGATTCGAGCCTCCAACGAGTCCATGCAGGACTGCGTTGGCTCATGGGAAAGCGTGAAAAGCGATGGTTTACAGGAGCCAACGATCTTTTCAAGGGCGGTCCCTCTGCTCGTAGATGTCATCGCCAGTGAAGCAATCCACGACGATCAGCCCGCCACTCGTCCCCGAGGCTGGGCGCATCTCAAAAGGTACTCGGCCCACGCCGCCAATTGGCCCGTCGACTTCCTTGCCCATCCGCGGATACGACCATCATTCCTGTCCGGAAAGTGCAATCTCACGTTTGATTCGTCGCCGATTTTGATGCCATCAACCGGCGTATGGCCAGGATGCGCAGCCATCATCAACCACGTGGCCGCGTCCCTGCTGACGTGCTCAACACGTCTTTTCAGTTTTTAATTTGCCCCCAACTGATACGATGCCCACGACCTTCGTCCTCGCGCCCGAGCACGGCTACGTCATCCTCGTCGTCATCCTCACCGGCTTTGTCAACGCGTGGGCCGGCATGAAGGTCGGCGGTGCGCGCAAGCGCTACAACATCAAGTATCCGCAGGTAGCATGCCACGGTGCTTGCTTTCGGATGCGCTCACAATAGTATGCTCTAGATGTACGCTGAAGTCTCCGACAAGAACTTTAACGCGTTCAACTGCGTCCAGCGTGCGCACCAGAACGTGCTCGAGAACCTCCCCGTCTTCTTTGCGCTCCTGATCACGTCCAGCATCTACCGCCCGGGCTACGCCGCGATCGCGGGTCTCGTCCGCGTCCTCGGCTTCATCGTGTACGTCCAGGGCTACGCGACGGGCGACCCGGCCAAGCGCATGCACGGCGGCTTTGGCTACCTCGGTCTCTTTGCGTCGCTCGGCCTTAGCATCGAGGCCGCGATCACGCTGCTCTATTCGGCGTAAATTTACGGGAACAATGCGCGGTTCCTTGCATTTTATCGTATTTTTTACATTTATTGCATGCGTCACAGAAAATGCTCAAGAATAGCCCGACGACGTGTCGAGAGGGCGACGTGCCTTGGCGCTGCGGGTGACTTCGAGGAGCAGCATCGGGTACTCACCGAGCTCTTCAAAGCCCTTGGTATCGACCACGTCTTGGAAACAGGCGTGGATGAACGTCATGCAGCTTGCTTTCAGCATCATGGCCTGTGCGCGGCCGTGACCGACTAATTAGGTAAGGACGGCATACCTCGTACATGTTGGCGGCAATGAGCACGGTGCAGACACTCTCGACATCCAGAGTGTGCGCGAGGTGGTTCTCGCAGAGGCGCGAGAGTTCCTACAGCGAAGTATCTCGTCGTCGTATGACCATCGTCACATTGACGCACCGCCACCGAGTAGTGGTCGGCAAGGCCGAGGAGCTCGACCGCTGTCTCGAGGGAGAGCTGCTCGACGTAGCCCGTGTAGAAAAACTCCTAGGGCTGAGAGTGAGCACGAGCAAATAAGCTATAAAGAGCGTCGTACGAGCAAGCTGTAAAAGGCGGCGTGGGACCAATTCGGAATCGTAATGGTATCGGCGTGGCTCTCGCGCATACCGCTGGCAAACATGCAGCGAAAGAACGGACTCTGCGCCGCCACAATCGCTTTGTGCGCGCGGATCGGCTTGTCCTGCACGAGAAACGTCACGTCGCTGTAGCTCGCATCTTGGTCGAGCAGCAAGTGGCGGAGGTTGGCAACGACGTGGGCTTGCGCGGTCGCTCGGAGCCCTTGCTCCTCGATGGAGCCAATGTCCAGAATGTACATGTCGTCCATCCACTTGAAGCCGTCAAAGCCTCCGACAAAGTAGATCTACGCGCATCATCATGAAACCATGGTGCAAGCAGGAAGAGGTGACCCTGGCGCCGACCAAGCACGCGCTGTGGCGCTGGCGGCCCGTCGGCACAGCGTCCATTTCCGGCGGCCGTTCCCAGCACATGCCATCTACACAGTATAATATTGGTCTATCGCAAAAGAAATACAGCAAGGCAGACCAAGGTTGAGAATGAAGAGCTCGTTGGACCGGCCGCGGCCGTCGTAGCCACCGAAAAAGTAAATTTTGTGGTCTCGGATCGTCGCCGTGTGGCCGCGCAGCCCCGGCGGGAACGGGCCTTGGATGCTGGCCAAGTGCGTCCACGTCAGCGTCTCTACACATTCCAGGATGACAAAGTGCTGCATTTATTCGTGGAGCCAACCGGTTTGGAATTCGTACAAATCGCGCAAATGCTTGGCGCCAGAGTGCCCGCCAAACATGTACAACGTGGTGCCCCGGATCGAGACGGTGTGCGCATTGCGCGGCGCCGGCTGGTACCCATGCACCGTCGGGTGGATCCACGTATACGTATCTAGTTGTCCACTGTAGCCAGATATGGAAGAATGACGTGGTTGTGTTACCGAGGTCGAGGATGTCAATGTCATTGAAGCAGTTGACGCCGTCAAAGCCGCCAAAGACGTAGATCTTGCGGCCGACGCGCGACATGGTGTGGCACGCGCGGGCGCTGGGGCCATGGCCCGACGTGGTCTACACAAGCCATGCATACTCGGCCGCCAATGCGGAATGGTTGCCTACCACGACGCTCCACTTGCACCGCTGCGTGTCAAACACATGCAAGTCCGAGAGCCATGTGGAGCCGTCGTGGCCGCCATGAATGAAGATCTTGTCGTCGACGACCGTCGAGGCGTGGTTGTTGCGCGGCGACGGAAGGCGACCGTCGGCGTGGAGCAGGCTCCAGCTCTGCGTGGGCACGTGGAACTGCCAGAGGTCGTTCAGCGCCATCTTGCCGCTCCAGCCACCAAAGAGAAAGAAGGCATCGCGGCTAGGCACGTACTCGCACGTGTGCGCAGCGCGCGACCCGGGCGTGTCGCCCTCGGCGTGGCCCTGCGGGTGTGCCCAGATCGCCATCTCGCCCCAAAATCTTTGGGCGCTTCGTTGTATCCGGATCCGCATCGTTTCCAAAAAGGAAACAAGCGATTTCTTAACATGTTTCTTATCGTGCTTCTTAACAACATTGTTAGCATACTCACCACGGATTGTGCTCCAAATGCTGCGAGTAAACCGGCTTCGGCGGACGTGGCAGAGCGTCGAGACATTTGCATTCCGAGCGCAGGACCATGGTGCTCGTACACCTTCTCTATGGCATGTACGTGCGGCTAGATGGCCCAGGACGCCGACGACTCATGGCCTCCATGTAATAGCTTCAAGACGCTGGCATGGCTCGCCGGCTACAGCGAGCACTACGTGACCGTCGACGACATTGAGTGGTCGTACCTCGACTCGGGCAACGCCAAGGACGAGCGGCCGATCGTGCTCTTCCTGCATGGCTTCTCGAGCGTCAAGAACTCGATGCTGCGCGTCGCGCGCGCCACGTCATACGACTTTCGCGTGCTTATGCCCGACATGCCGGGCCATGGCAACACGACGGCGCCGTCCATCACGAGCTACCGCGCGACGGAGCAGGCAATGCGCCTCGAGGCCTTTCTGCAAAAGGTCATTGGCAGCGCCAAGATCCACGTGGTCGGCTGCTCGATGGGCGGTATGATCTCGGGCACGTATGCGTCCATGTACCCGGACCGCGTGCTCTCGACGACGCTCATCTGCCCCGCGGGCGTGAGCATGCCTACAAAGAGCCCGCTGCTGCAGATCTTTGAAAGTACGGGCGAGAATTACATGCGGGCGACGACCGCCGACGATTTTATCCGCCTCCACACGTTCATGTTTCACGCGCCACGCAAACTACCACACTTTGTTGCCAACCTCGTCGCCAAGGAGCGGGTGCGACGACGACCTGCCCTCCCGTCTCATCTTGCATCCATGTAGGCCAAGCAAGGCGATGTCCTCGAACGACTCATGAGCGACATCCTCCTCGATTTCCAGACGCTGGACGACAAGCTTGACCAGATCCAGAGTCGAGTCCAGATCATCTGGGGCGACAACGATCAAATTCTAGACAACTCGAGCTTGGAGGTAATCTCCCATACGATGACAGGATAGAGTGTCTCCATGCCCGTAGATCATCCGCCAGAAAATCCCGGACCACCGACTGCAGGTGCACATGGTCCCCGAAGCCGGCCACTGCGTCCACCAAGAAAAGCACGCCGAGGTCGGCGCCCTCGTCCATACCTTCCTCGCGCAGTTCATTACTGTCTCGGTACCCGGCCAATAGATGTATCAGTAATATATCTCCTCTTGTCTTCTCTTCCCCACAACCACCAACCTCGGCCCGCATCGCTGCGCACACCCTGCGATACCACGTCGTATGTGTGATGCGAGGATTATGCGCATGCGTTGATGGACGACAAGGTTGCTGCTTCGCGCATGTCGATTCGGTAGCGATTACGGATTCACATAGGCGTCGAGGGGCGTCGTTTTGGCGGCCACGAGACGCGAGGCAAGCGCTGCAATCTCGCGCGGCAGAAAGCCCGTTTGACGCACGGCCGGGTGCTGCTCCAGCACGAGCGAGAGATTCGTGTTCGGGTCGGGATGGTTCTTTTGATGTGCGATCGGCGACGCACTCACCTCGGAGAGCGAGAGGCCGCGGTCCTTCCCGAGCAGCCGTCGCAGCAAGTCGACTGCTTGCGCCGGCCCGAACGGGTGCAAATGCTGCATGCGGCCGCCGTGGGTTTGGAAGACCGGCGACACGACCTGCTTGCGCGCCGTGATAAGCAGCCGCAAGCTCGAGTACTGCGTGCAGAGCGCCTCGATCCACTTGATAAAGTCGTGCTCTTCGCGCTCGAGGAGCGGGTCGACACCGTCGAGAACGAGAAGTCCGTGCTGCTCCATCGTCCTAAAGCACCCCATTCAATGATACAACCCATATCCTCGGATGAGCGACGTACGCGTTGTCAAAGGTGCGGGCGAGCCACGTCGCCACGCGCTGCTTGATGGCGGCGATCACGCGGTGCCCGAGCATGATCGTGTTGTTTTGTGCGCGGCCATGTCTTCGTCGACGATCTTGCCCACGTGCAGGAAGCGGATGCCGGCGGGAAAGACCTTGCGCGCGCCGAGGTACTTGGCGGTCGCGTACGAGAGCTGCGTCTTGCCAACACCCGCGGGGCCCACGAGCCACACAAATTTTTGCGTTTGGCTCATCGTGGAAAAGTGCGAGCAGACCTAGTCCCACCATTCGTGCTGAGCAACACGAAGAGAGACAAGATGAGGTATTTGTACATAATACTGGTCTGCCTCACGGTGACGAAAATGCTACACTCATGTTGACTTGAAACGTTGATACTTTTTGGAAAGCAACATACCTGGCACAGCGACGGCAGTTTACTTGACCAGACAACAGGAAACCGCTGCGACGACGGGACCTGCGACTCGTACTCGACCAGCGGCAGCTCCACCATGGGAAAAATAACTTCGTTGTGGTCGTCGCCTTCGGGTAGCAGCTGGAATTTCGATGCCGCCTAGCGCCAAACGATGGACTCCATGTATCCCAATAATTTGTGATAGAGTGTACCTTGATGGCGTGGGGGAGGTGCGGGTACACCGACACGGCGTGGCGACCAATCTCAAAGCTCTCGGCCACGCTCTTGCCTTGCCCCAGTGCGAGGTAAAAATTCCTAAAAATGTACAAAATTCAAATCAATGCAATTGGCAAAGATGGTGTCTGACTTTGTAAAGACGATGGCCGCCTGGTCTTCGAGACGCTCTTCCACCTTGACGGCAATGACGTGGGGGATGCCGCACTGAAGGAACGCCGACGCTACGCTGCATGCGTCGAGACCCATTCGAATGCAAACGACCTCACGCACCGCAGTACTGAGAATGACACGCTTGGACGACAACGAGGCGGAGCGGAGAGTTGGGCCCGCCAAAGAAGCTCCGCCGGAGCTCGTCGGCGACCATCGGGTGCACAGCGCTCTCTTGGTCTTCAAAGTACAGACACTTGGGCCCGCCATGCCCGGAAAAGTGCAGCGCGCGACAGCCCAGCGTCATCATCGACTGAAAGTTGTTGGACGTGGCGAATTGCACGTTGACGTCGATCTCGCGGGGCACGAGCATCACTAATCGCAGGTTCAGTGATCCATAGTCCGATTGGGATGTTGATATATACCACTGGGGTCCTCGGGCTTTGTGCTCTACATGTCGCATCTCAGCCATCATCGACTAGGACTATGCTCGAAGGGCATCCTACCGCGTGCTTGGAGGCATCTTCGAGCGTCTTGATGAGGTTGTCGTACTCGCGGCACAAGTCGAGTTCCTACGTGTCTGTCCTTGTCCAGTGACACGTATGACGCTCTTGGGATGGACCTCGATCGGGTGCAAGCGGCCGTGCGCGTCACGCCCCACAAGCGGCGACGAAAACAACACGCCCTAGGCATGCGATATGAGCCGTCTGGCGACATCTATCAATCTATCAGGACAGATGTACCAATACGTTTTCTTGAATGTGACGTTTGGTGACGGGCGGACGGTCCGCGTCCACAGGGCGGGTCGCCGCCGTCGCGTTCGCGCCGACAACATGCGGGTCTTCAACAATATACCTGCGCAGACACGAGATATATGTAAGAGAGGTCGACAAGAGGTGTGTTTATACCCGAGCAGCACCGAGCCCGACTTGGACGAGAGCAGTGTGATCTTGTCGTCGTGCTGCAGCGTCGCGGGCTTGTCCTTGACTAATCATACAAAAAGGTTAAAAAAGCTCGTCGATCAAAACAGAGTGACGTGTACCCATCGTGATGCCGTTGAGTTTGATGCCATTGCGGCTACGGTCCGTAATGCGCACGACGACGCGGCTGGACATGGTGTCTTGGACGCACTCGAAGACGCAGTGTTCCTTGCTGAGCTTGGCAATGTCGACGTGCGCCGAGTCGTTCTTGTTGTTGAGCGCCGCGGTAAAGAGATCGCGGCCAAATACCAGTGGCTTGTGCATTGGACTAGTCCAACACTGCGTGAGGAAGCGCAAGGTGGAGAAATCCTGCGTACCTAAACTCGACGTCGAGAAGGCCCGCGCGCTCGAGCTTGTCGACCGAGTCGTCGCTCAAGTTGGCCACGACCGTCGGGTGCAGTCGCAAGCGCAGGCACACCATGTTTTCCGAGAAGGGCATGGTCTGTGTCATCTCCATGATGGCCTGCGACGCGACAAACTCAATGTTCTCCGTGTCAGCCAGCGTGTCGCCGAGGTCGTCTTCGTCGTCGCCGCCTGCCGTGGTTTCGCGGTACTGCCCGGCCAAGCTGCTGTAGCCCACGATCGGTGCCCCTGCGTAGCGAGGCGTCGGGCGTGCCAGCGCCGGACCGCCCATGCTCGCGTCCGGCGCGCTGCCATCGTCCGTGAGGTCGAGCATCGAGAGCGACGTGAAGCCCGTGGGCGGCGCCGTGGCCATCGCGCTCTTGGCCCGCTTCCGGTTCTCGGCGTCCTCCATCCACGCGCGCTTGGCCGACGCGGTGTCCATCTCGCTGAAATTCGCAAATACGAGTGATCCATATCCGGTTACTCTCCGATTTCATCCGGAACGGCGCGAACGGATCTTTCGCACGAGGCCGCAGCAAGGCCACCGTGGCCGGACCCACGACGACTTGGCCGCTGGCACTCACGCGCGCCGTCCTCGCACTACCGTCTACGGTGGGCCATGACCGCCCAAATCTGGCAAAACGGAATTGTTGATGAAACATTTAATGTGCTGTCGCGACGTCGGTGGTCGTGCTGTCGAGCGGCGAGTTGTACACGGATGGCTTCGGCATCGGGTTGAGCGACTCGAGAAGGCGCGCGAGCTGCAGGACGGTATCTTCATGCCAATGCGCGGCTTGCAGCTGCAGCGGCATGGGCAGCCCGCCCGAGGAGAGGCCTATCTGCACTGCAAGCAATCCCAGGTACACCGACAAAGTTGCCGAGCACCATGCACTTCATGAGGCCTGTGGTGAGCTCGAGCTGCGAGAGGCCGGCCTTGAAGACGTCGGGCTCTAAGCGCGGCGCGAGGATCGACGTCGCGCAGCATGCTAGTGGCATACGCGCGCACGCGCTGGGCCGCGAGAAAGTCGATGCTCGAGAGCACCGCGCGCGCAAGCTCCAAGTTGATTTGCACATCGGCGCTGAACTCGCGAATGCAACGATAGTGGACGTCCGTGGCCTGCGCCATCTCGGTGAGAATCGTCATGTTGTGGCCAAAGTGGATCGCTTGGAGGTTCGCGAGTTTGATGTGCATGATGGTCGCGCCCCGCGCCTGCAAGTCCGCCATCTGCGCGTGGATCGCCGTCACGATCTCCGTGTCCCTGCCAAAAAGGTAGTCGGGATCGATACCGACGCGGAGGTGTCCGAGGTCGGTCGCGAACGGCGACGTCGAGAGATAGAGCGGTGGTTGGTACAAACTCATATGATGATGGCCCGCGTCGCTGCCCGCCATGATGGTGTATGCAAGCGCTGCGTCGTGCACGGATGCAGCGAGCGGTCCGACTTTCGAAAGGCTCGGGCACCCGTGAAAGTCATAGGGGATCCGGACGTACGTGGCTTTGAGCCCCACGATGCCGCAAAGGCTGGACGGAATGCGCACCGAGCCGCCGCCATCACAGCCGATAGCGATCGGCACAAGCCCGGCGGCAGCCGACCCGCTCACCGGTCATGTGATTCTCGTTAAACGGGTTGGGCGCGGTGCCGTGGTGGATGTTAATACCAAAGCAGCCGGCGCCAAACGCGTGCATGTTGGTTTTACCGACGATGATGGCGCCGGCCGCGCGTAGCCGGGCGACAGAAAAGCAGTCGACGGGCGCCACGCCATGGACCGACCCGAGAAAGGACGTACCAAACGTGGTCGGGTAGCCTTCATCCTCGATCTACGATACGAATACGGTGCGCTTGACCACTCTGGATGCGGATCGATCTCGCACCTCGTCTTTGACGGCGATCGGGACACCGTGGAGGGGGCCAAGGGTGGCGCCGGCACGGTACCGCGCCGTCGACGCTATCGCATTCTCTAGCGCCGCGTCAGCGTGCACCTGAATGAGCGCCCGCAATGGCACGTCCCGCCGGTTGGAGTCGTCAATGGCGTTGAGAACGCCAGTGATGGCTTGCAATGAAGTGATCGCAGCCGATGTTACTTGGCAACGTAGTCAGCTGCTGTGTAGCAGTGAAAGGCGAGGGACTTCTGCGGGTGCTCCATCGCAGCAAGCGCCTGCAGGGAGTAGGCTCGTGCGTGCGCCGTATGCTGCGCGAGAAGGGAGCTCGAGGGCATGCAGAGCGGGTAGTAGAGAGGCTGCATGCGCACGGTCGCCGCGAGCTCGCGCACTTGAATCATGCGGTTGTCCAACTTGATCTTGCGCAGAATGGTGGGGCCAAGGACGGGTACGCGCAGCAGCTTGGCAAAGACCTTGAGGCTGTTGCCTGTGAGACGCGGGGCCCGGAGCTCCGTGAGGTTCATCGAGTCGCCTGCAACCTTCTCGAGCAGTACGTCGTAGGTCGCGAGCGTGTGCTCGTCGTCGCGGCGGCCCATGCTTGTGAATGGGTGCCTTGCTTGGTCGTGTTGGAATGTGTAGATGACAGCGTGAGCGGTAGAGTCTGTTCTATAAAAAGTTTGTCGAGATCGAAGTAATCTAAGCGTCCTTTGCGTCCCATCTTGCCGTAATGTGGCTCAAATACGACCGTAACTCTAGGTTCGGAGGGTAGTGGCAGCCGATGAACGCTTGTCCGACATTGACATTGTGTTAAAGTTCGGCAGCGTATGTGCTGCGTTGGCCAGTGTGACAACGCTATAGTATGTGCAAGGACGACGCGCCCAATTGACATCTCTCTTTGAGATACAGTGCTCGCCGATTTGCACCGTGGGCAAAGGCCAAGGCAGCGTCAAGCTCGGGCGCCTGTGGATCACTTGGTCTCAGCTCCCACAAGCAGATACATACTAGCACGACGTCTTTCGAGCGTCATCGCGCCTTGCGGCTCACACCGTGTCCATTGCACATACCTCGCTCCTCGCGTTCACTATAGCCACTCTAATGCTGCCTCACAGACACACACTCAACTCCACCACCGCGTGACAACGTCACATCTCGACAATTGAAAAGAAAAGCACCCTTTTTGTCCAAAGACGCCAAGCCGTAATCGCGCCACGTCATCACGCGAGATGGTAATCAACGCCGCCATATGGCACATCGTCTTCGCCGATTTCTGCTTCAAAAGCGCATTTGCCGGATCATGGCGACGAGCAGCCTACCCTACGTGGAGCCACCGACGCCGCCAAGCACAAGTGTCGGCGACCGTCTCCGGCGTGCCGTCTTCGTGACGCTCCTCTCGATCCTTGGTCTTCCCTACATGCTCTACGCGTGCCTCGCTCAGCGGGCGACAATCGGCCCGCTCCTTACAGCGGCCCGGCGCACGAGCATCAAGCTCGACGCGATGTACAAGGACTCGTCGCGCCTCGCACGTGCGTGGTCCACACCCATTGGGCAGCGCTACCTCTGCGGCGGTCTCGAGTACCAGCGGCGCGAAGGCTACTGCGCGTCCGCAACGCTCCGAAATGTGCTCAAGTCCGTTGGTCGTAGCGACGTCCTACCGGCGCCCCGCCGCGGCGCGTCGACCCCAAAACAGTACGTGGCAGCGCTCGACCACGCAGGCTGCACGAGGTCCCGCATTGTCTACGGCAGCGATGGCTACGACGTGTTTCGATCTGCACTTTTGGCAGCCAACGACCCCAGCTACCGCGTCGCCGTCAACTTTCTTCGGTCGCCGCTCTTCGGCTTCAATGGACCGACGTTCGCGCCGTTTAATTTCATCCTGGGTGTCTTTGGCGGTCATTTCTCCAATGTGATTGGGTTCCTCGACGACGAAGATCTCGTCGTCATCTTTGACGTCAACCACACGTACGGCCCGTACCTTGTTGACGCCAAGCGCCTCTATAGCGCCGTCAACACGTACGACCAGACGGCCAAGCGCACGCGGGCGCTCGTCGTCTCGAAAGTGCTCGAGGACTCTGACTAAACATAATTTCTGTTTTTGTTGTTTACCAAGTGCGATATTGCAATCTTTGTACAATATTGTCGTGCATCGCGTTTGCGTGGAGATGGGGCGTATCCAGTCTAGTGCTTATCTGTATTTATTTATGTATATGGAGAGCGATCAAAGCGGAATGTCTTGCGTCGGACAACCAATCAAGTAGAGTCGGTCGAGCTCGCGCATGCGCGTGTCGGTCTCGGGGTTGGTCTCGACGTACGCTGGCGTGACCGCGTCGTTGTTCTCGTTGGACTTTTCGGGGTGCCAGCAGCCAATGCACACAAAGTGCTACGCCACATCCCATACACACCATGCAGCATGACCGCTTCCTTTTACCACGTTCAAAAGCTTCCGGAAACACTCGCCAAACGACTTGCCGACGAGGGGCTTGGGGCAGGGCACTTGAAACAAGCTTCGCTTTCTAGTGCATTCCCATCCTGCATGGTATCCCATCGCATCGACAACATGAGTACGTACTGTCCTTCGTAATCGCTGCCGTGGAGGAGGGCGTCGAGGACGGTCGAGAGGTGCGGTTTTTGATAGCACTCGCTCATCAAGCTCTCGATGAGGCCACTGACGTACACCCGACCTAATGTGTTTTGCACGGTGATGACGAGGCGACATGGTGCACTCTATCGACGCACCTGACGCGTAGGCTGGCTGGCAGAGATGCACGAGTTCGACCAAATCGGTTTCGTCGTTTTCGGACGCGTCGTCATTAGGCGGCACGAGCTTATCAAGGCGCGTCGGACCGAGGCCGACCAAGTGCGAGATGCGGCGCGTGCGCACGTTCTGGGATTTGACGATCGAGCTCAAGAACTTAACGTTCGTGTGCTTGACGAGCTCGACAATCAAGTTGGGCGGCCGCTTCCCGATGAGGTAGCTGCCCTCGAGGATGAAGCGCACGCACGTGATCGCGTCGGCGTCGACCATGTTTTCATCGAAAAACGATTTTGTGCCGGCGGCTGACGACTAGCATGGACGATATTGTCTACCATGTACAACGACATGCACGCAATGCACCAGCACAAGCACCGAGGCGGCCGACGGGACGCCGGCGCGAACCAGGTCCATGGAGTTTAACGGCGACCCTTGGCAGTAGTAGACGTTCTGGAACCGGTGTTTCTGGATGCTTTCGTGGTACTGTTCTTTTGTGGGTGGTTTGGGCGCCAAAATGACCACAAGCTACGGGTTTGTCTTGAAACACCCAACTCGTGTTGCACTACATCGGCGTACCCGGGACTGGGCGAGCGTGTGGTGCAACGGAATCAAAAGGTCATGGAGCGCCGACGGCACGCCGATGAGCACAATGTGGTCCTCGAACGTATTCGGAAGCGGCCGTGTCTACGCATGCACATATCAATTGGCCACTTACGGCTAAATGCACGCAACCTACCACAAAGTCTTCGTAGTACGCAGACGAGTCATTAATGGACGCGCGTTGGCCGCCGGGTGCAAATCGACTCACCCCCGGCGAGAGTGTCGATGCCTTGCGCGTGTGGCGGCGCGACAAGGACGCACTTGCAACCACGTCGGGGGTCAGCGTCGGGGGGACCCCCCCGCTCTCGAGCAGCTTCTTCTCGGCGCGCAGCTGGCGATCGCGCTCCATCTTGCGCAGCGTTTGGCGAAAAACGCGAATCTCTTCGTGCTGGTAGCGTCCAATGCCGTCGAGGGCTTCGAGCGACGCAGCAATTACATACAAGGTGCAGCACGTGTTGGGGTCGGCGGTCGTGCCCAACTTGAAGTCCATTGGGATCATGCGCACACTGGCATCCTACATACGGACAACTTGTACATGTTTGAAGCACGACGAGATTGCACCGCAATGAGCGCGATCGGGATGATCTGCAAGTTGTTGTAGAGAAAGAGAACGAGCTCGCTAAACGTCAAGCCCGAATACGTGCGTGGAATGTCGACGCTGAAAACCTTGTTGGCGCAGCCTATAGACAAAAAGTGTCTCGCGTTCCATGAAGAATATATGTAGTATATTCTGGACCGTTGAGGTACGCCGAGACCCACGACCGGTCATGTTTCTTGTTGGGAATCGCAATCGTGTCGAGGAGGTTCGAGATGAGGGTCGAGAGGCCCATGATGTCGCAGCTCTTGGCGAGTAGCGTCATCTTGAGCTTCTCGACGCAAATGACGCTGTTCGCGCCGGAAATGTGACAGTGCGAGATGTTGCGCGATAAAATCACTTGGGTGAAGATCGGTACGCGCGGGTTGAAGCTCCGGAACGCATTGGTCAAGATCGAGTTCATCTGGTCTATCGTTGTGCCACGCATGCGTCATACTAAGGTTCGAGCCGCAGCACGGACCTGTTTTTTCAAACGGGTTGTTCATGCACGTAAAGACAAAGCACATGGCACTGCGATGGACGGATGCGCGGCGCAAGTCGGTCTCGCGCATGGCCGACCCGACAATGTACGTCACGCGCGGTTCGTACAAATGGATGAGCTTGGTGATTTCGGCACTCGGCTCTTTCGGGTGTAGAATCACAATCTAGACCAAACGTCCAATGAAAATGTGCAATACTGTGCATAGATAGAGCTCTACTTGTTCGTTCCAACGCCGATTGTCCGCGTGGAAGAATTGTCGTAAAAAGGCCGCGAGCGCATTCGCGTCCAAATCGCAGGCCGTGATGACGGCATGGCTGTCTTCGGTCTTGCTGTACGCTTTGGTGTAGTCCGAATGCGAAGAGATGACGGAGACGAGCTTGTTGACTTGCAGTGGCACGAGCACAAACGTGAGTAGAATGAGCGTCGCGACACCGAGGCGACCCATGCGCGTCTGCGGCGAGATATCTCCGTAGCCCACCGTCATGATCGACACCTAGCCCTAGTCCGTGTCGCGACCACAAACGTAGTATATCTTCGTACCACAACAAAGTAGATCCAGTCGAAGAACCGGTAGTCGGTGCACTGGCTGCAGCACTGCGGGTTGGGGCAGTCTTTGAGGCAAATGTCGTTGTATGGGGTCGAGCACGCGGGGGATTCGCAGAGCCAGGGTGCGGGGCACACTTCGAGGATCTGGAGCACGCCGGCGAGCGCGATGATCATGCACACGACCGTAAGGAGCGTCGCCATGATCTGGCGCTGAACAATCGACGATGTAAAACGCAAGAGACGATACGCGCGCAAGATGCGCATCGACTTCATCACTTGCAAGAGCGAGAGCAGTTGACGGCCGACATCGCTCGCGCGGAGCTGCAGCACGACGTTCTTCGACTCGCTGCTGTTCTGCATGACCGAGAGCCCAAACTCGATCCACGTGGAGCAAATGCCAATGACATCGACGATCGCAAAGAAGCTCGTCATGTACTCGAGGCGTAGCGGCGCCGCATAAAACCGTAGCACATAACTAGCCCAAAATCCCGTCGTTCGGATTTCGTGGGACACAGAGAACGTACTCGATGGTAAAGAGCACTCCGATCGCTGTGCTAGCGTCTATTCGTGTCAAAAGTAGTGAGAAAGACGCAAGGGTGGATGGATATCTAGAAAAACAACTTGTACGCACTCGTTATGGCGGGCTCGACGTCGATGCTGTAGCCCGACCAATTGGTGTACATGAAGAACTCGACCATGACAAAGCTCAGCACGACAAGGAGCGCGTCGTTGAGGCGACACAGCGGCGCTTGCTCGAGGTTCCGCGCCGTCCACGCGCGGAACGTCTCGTCGGGCACGGGCGGTAGCAGCCAATGCGTCACCGTCGGGTCGTTGAGCGTCGTCTCAAAATGGAAGGCCGCGGCAACCTTGCTAGCGTACGTGTTTTGAACCACGGCTGCTGCCCGTCGCGTGAGGCGGCGGCTCGCCACCCGCGGCGATGGTTCTCCAGCCGTCTTCATGCTGCTGCCTTTTTGTGAAACTGCTGCGTCGAGAGTCGAGAGGACGCCACCGACGCGAAACGACACCAAGTCCACTGGATAGACTCAAAATCGCATGGCCATCAGCACCTACCTTGCGCTGTGGGCGCGAGCAAGGACCTAAATACTATTGAAGCTCTCATAGCCCCTGTGCCTACCGGTAGGTAGAACCAACCGACGACGAGAGAACGTCACTGTACTCGGCGGAGAAGCGCTCAGCTCAGGTGTACAGCGCGCACAGAAGTAAACATCCTGGCGAGGATCGTTTGATACCGGTAGTCTTATTTATCCTCGTGGTGCCATCGTTATTTGTGCATGAATACAGATAGTACAAGTAGAATGCGAGTACTGCCCTGGGTTTGATGTTGGATACACTTGCAGACCGCTGTGCGCAGAGTAACGCACCCATTCCACCGCGCAAGAAATTTGGAGCACGTACGCGCCGTCGTCAGCGCGTTGCTATTGCCGTCGTTGAACGTGGTACATGGGCAAGGACGAGATGCAAAAGTTTTGAGAGAAGTGTTCATGGACACGAGTCCATCGGTGCAGACAGTGTTGTTATCGACTTTGCCGTCGTCCTCTTGTCGTCGTGAGATACAACACCTTGACATGGCGTATATTTGCCGTCGACGGGGCTGTCGCACTGTGCAGCAACATTTGGACAGAGGTGGCGACAGTCATTTCCTTAAATCAGTCTGGTTTGCCGCCACCCAAATGCCACGTTACCCATTGAAACAGCTTTTTGTACTTTTTATGCGAATTTAAAATGATACAGTGGCCAGCGTCTCGCCCGACGGCGCCAATCTTCAATTCGCCGCCCACTGCACACATGCTTCGCGGCCGAGAGCACTCACACCGCGCACTGCAAGCGACGGCGGCCGAGAACGCGACCGGCGGTCTCTCGCCAACAGCACTCATCGCCATCGCCCTCGTTGTCCTTATCCTCATTTGCTGCTGGTGTTGCTACCGCCGCCGCCGCCACCGCACTTCATCGCCCGCCCTCGACGTGTACGCGCCTGCGCCAACGGCCAATGCGTCGACGCCCCTCACCGACTCGAGCTCACTCATTGGCCTTAACTTGGACGAACTGCGACGCTGGCGCATCAACGAAAGCGACCTCGTCGGCAGCCGGACACTCGCCTCGGGAGCGTACGGACAGGTCAGTCTCGGGTCGTTCTGCGGCACGACGGTCGCCATCAAGTCGTCGCTGCGCAAGAAGGCGACGGTCGCCGACCTCCAGTGCTTCATCGACGAGATCAAGCTCACCGCACGCTTCGAGTCGCCATACATCATCAAGCTCATTGGCGTTGCGTGGTCCAACCCATCGGACCTCCAGTGCGTGCTCGAGTACATGGACATGGGCGACTTGCGCAACCACCTCTCGCAGACAACACCCGAGACGTATCCGTGGACAGAGAAGGTCCAGTGCATCCACA